CGTGCGGACTCCCAAGAGGTCCTATCACCAGTGAAAGTTATTCGGGAATATGAGTTGATTACGTATTCATACGTACGTATCAGTATTGAAATTTTCTATGGTGGTACCTTAAACACTAAACATTAATGAAAGACAATTTTTAAGAATGATACGCTAACGTTGTTTTATAATATCGACGCTTGAAAGGCAAAGATGACTAAGCGACAATGCGTGAACTTTACAATAGACTAATTTAAAGTTGAAATTAATTTAAAATATACATGAGAAATACCTGAAAAAAATCTATTTTAACGAATCTAGCTGTAGGATTGAAATGATTTTAACAGACCTAGAAATAAATATTTTTTGCGCATCGAATATGGTTATTGCCTATCATTTATGTACAAAGCAGTTATTGTCGCTTAGTCTCTTTTGCCTTTCAAGCGTCGATGTGTATATTTATACCGAGCAAACCATACTATTAACAAGTATATAATTTTATTATTACTTTTATAGAATATTGGAATATTTATTTTCATGAACGCACACGTCAAGAACCGTACGAATACCGTGATTAGCTTACTGGCAACTTCAGAAAACCGCTAGATTTTAGAGGTTTATAATTATATTTCCAAGGAATATACGGAGGCAAATTTGGGATATTCACGTAAATCTATACTAATATTATAAAGAGGAAAGATTTGTTTGTTTGTTTGTTTCGAATAGGCTCCGAAAGTACTGGACCGATTTGAAAAATTCTTTTGCCATTAGAAGCCGACATTGTCCCTGATGAACATAGGCTACTTTTTTTTATATTTTTTTTATTTATTTTTTTTGGTTTCATATGTGTTTAAATGTTTCCGAAGCGAAGCGAGGGCGGGTCGCTAGTGAGTGATAAATTTGAAGGAGTGGTAAGTCCTTCAAACTTATTAACTTAACTAACCTACTAACTAAGAGTGAATTAATGTCATTATAACACGAGATATATTGAATGAATGAATTGTGAATATTATTGAATTGCAATAATAGTGAAATTGTGATGCTCTCTTCTGTCATGTTTTTATATTAGAATACACCACGACAGCGAAATTTACTGTATTTATGTAAATATGTTCCTAATTGATCCTAAATTGATGCCAGAGATCATTTACGATTCGCGTACATGATCTCGCTGCGACGGTTTTCGCCGTAACGCCGTAATAAATTTTATGTGTAATGCTTTAAAAAAAAACAGTATAAATAAGAATACTTGAGCACGAGCGGCAGTAGCTAATTTGTACAAAGCCTCGATGGACAAAGAATAAAAAATTTTTGCTCAATATAACTAACGATGAAACGATATTTTTTTTATCTCAAACAAAATATAACATATCTCGTGATAATTCTGCTTGTTTGATCTAATGGACTTTTGAATAAGCTCCCGGATTATAAGTTTTATAAGCCAGTTATTGAAAGTTTTTTTTTTGGTTCCTAAGTCCATGTTGTCTCTTATTCACACTGATTTGCTTGGTAACTAAATTAAGCAAAGTAAAATGTCCCTTCATGACAAGGTGACACTCTACAAAGCTTGCGTACGTTCTGTCATTATCTATGCAAGAGTAGCGTTTCCTCACGCGGCCTGTACACACATTAACTCTCTCCAGATCATCCAATCCTGTTTCTGCAGGATTGCCGCCGCTACTTCGACAAAGCGGCGCGACACGAAAACCCTCTTGTCGTGGCCGCCGCTAATTACTTATCCGACTGCGACGGGACAACGCAAAGCCACCGTCGCCCAAAGCCAAGAATAGCCTCTAAGGCTACAAGCGAATAAGTAGGGAATAAAAAAAGGTATCTAAACTCAATAACTAAGCTGTGCTGTGACTAGCTGTAATTTCGTTGAATAAATAATAGTATAAAAAACCTAAAAAATACACTTTTATAGAAAATCCAACCAAGAAATAGAAAATAAATTTTAATAAACTTGAATTAAAAATAGTGTAAGAAAAACGTATTTGATTGCAAAAAAAGCGTACGGTGCTTTTCAGGATATTATCAAAATAACCCTTCGACTCATATCTGTTTATAAAATATTTACAACTCTTGATACCATGCATTTTATTAAAATTTATTTTCTATTTTTTAGTTGGTTTTTCTATTAAAGCGTATTTTTTTAGTTTTTTTAAACTATTATTTATTTTTATTTTTTTAGTTGAATTTAAATTGTTTCAATGTTTTTAATTTTAAATATTTTAAAAAATTCGTCTAAATCAGTCGGTAACTTATCCCATAAATAGGTGATCAGCGCGCCTGGTAGATTCCCTTCTTGGTCTTGATACAGACACTCCGGGTCTCAGGAAAACAAAAAATCGCTAAACCTGATTATCATAGTAAGGATAACAGATCAAACTATTTAAAATATTGAATTGTCATCGGTCCTTAATATGTATGCCAAATTTCGAGTTAATCCGACGTTTTGAAGGGAGCCAAAATCGTGTTCAAAGATTCCGTTACATAATAACATACGCATGAAGCTTATAAAAGCGTATGAATATAAAAATACCTAATTCTGTCATTACAATCTAGGGCTTCGCCGATTTTGTGTCGTCACGCCTCCTCCCACTTCTCAATTTTATTTTATTTATTATAAGGCGCAAAGATTGTTTGGTCTTGCTCAATTCCCGCTGCCTCGCCCTTAGGTATGTACGTCATACATTGCGTATACCATTGTTATCCGCGCAGCGAACAGTACGGCAGGGAAACCTTTTTATCCAAATTAAAGCCAACAAGTTTTGTTCCTAAATTAGAATCCCCTGCAATTATGAAGCAAAAATCATTGTTGAAATTTTAAAAGATTCCGTTACAAACATACATACGTCTGAAGCTAATAAAAGCGTATTATTAAAAATAAATCAAAATGCCAAACCGCTGACCGAAATCGACAATCTTTTATTTTAATTTGAATGCCCACAATAGGGTTATAGTATGATGATGGTCCTCAATAATATACATATTTTGTGGCGAGTAATATACAACTCTATGTTGAAAATGTCGTAAGCGAGATTCAGGCATCATACAATACAGGATAATTGACAGAAGCCTGAATCTCGCTTACGACATTTTCAACATAAGCGTGCATATATACAAGTTCCGAAGAACAACATTCGGACCGTCAGTCTAACGAGCATTATCACCCGCTCGGTGGAAGATCTTCCCTTCGTCGCTAAGCATTCCACACATTTATCGAGTTTAATGAGCATTTTACATATATCGAACAATTATGAATAAATCTCGTTTTTTGGGTCGGTGTTTGAATTTCCTCGCAAGATTCTCGCGGCGAAGGCGAGATGTGTAATACTACCATAGCCACTTACTAAACGTCTACCCTGGAATCTCGCCCAAACTTCTGAATCACCTCACCTGACCGCGGTAAAAACTACAACAGACCCGCGGCCCACCGAAAGAGCGCTTGGCCGGCGGAGTAGTTGGCGATCAACGACTCTACGTCGGCTACATTCAGGTAGTCCAGTTGGTACCGCTGGTGTTTCGACAAATTCCACTGGACCGGCAATAGCATCCTAGGTTAGAACATATGGTATGTCACATACTGTTTAGTATCCACTGTGCAGCATTCGATTGATTTCGATTTATACCTTCCACTAACGTTGAGTTATGAACAAGACTTTTAAGTAGGTACAGTAAATCTTAGACTTTCATTAAGTGTGTATATAATGCACGTCAGAGGGAAGATAGTACGAGTATAACATATTTGAGCAGATTGTCACTAAGCCGAGATTCATGTTTTAGAAACCAATGCTCTTTTCGGATAGCCGAGTTCCGAGCATTTGTATGTTGGCTGTATTCAGCTGTATGAATTAACGAAGGCTTTTATCTTCGCTGCACTCAGACTATAACTATGAGCGTGCCGCTTTAGATATCTTCTCTAACTTACGATCTCTCCGGCATTTACAATGATCGATTAAATATTTATGATATTAAGGGTTTGTCTTCATATCTAAATGAGTATGTTTTTTGCCCCTACCTATGCTGATAGCTTTGAGAGGCTATATCAGCGTTACCCTAGCGTGCTGGTGAGCTCTCGGGGCTCAAACCAAGAGGTGTTTCTAACACTGGCCCTAGCCACAGCAGTGTTTCAGAGAATCTACCACCGGATCGGAAACGCGACCCACTGAGAAGATCCGGCGAGAAACTCAGTGGGCTGTTTCTGAGGGTGAATTTATTCCCCGAGCCTTTCGTCGCAAGCGACGGGTTCGGCGAGGACGGGGACCGGAGTGAGTACATATGAGTCTAGAAGCAAGAGATTGAATTACATTAAATTTCGATGTTGTTCCATGTTCGGTACATAACATATGAACAGCGCGATTGAGAAACATCACCACACCTGTGACTAAATTACTATTACAGTTATGTTATAACTATATAGGTTTGTATTTTGAAATGAAATCACACCTGTATTCTAATTAGGATAAAGTATTGCTGAATATATAAATAAAGAAATAAAGAGCTGCCGTCTCGTCATCAATAATTGAGTTGCCCACTGAGTTTCACACCGGGACTTCTCAGTGGGTCGCGATTTCGATCCGATGGTAGATTCAGCGAAGCACTGCTCTAGGCCAATGTTAGCGAACTCTCTTAAGTTGAGTCTAGGAGCTCAACTACCAGTCCGTGAGTAGCTCCTTGAGTTCCCAGCGATTAGTCAGGGGAAAAAATCAATAACTCACACGATTAATGACCTGATTTGCTGTTGCAATTTTTTGTATCAAGTGAATCTGTATGCATGTTTCATAAGAATTTGTGATTGGAATCGGTGAATTATTATAGATTGTTCGAAGACATCTGCATCGATTCGAGTGATACTGCAATAAAAACTTATCTGCAGGTAAGCTGTTGTAACAGGCTGCGCCTCCGGGACAACTGTCGAGCACATCTGCGCCTCGGAACGGACCCTGCGTTACTTTTGAGTATTATATGAAGTAGGGAGCCGAGCCGCGCGACCATCATTCCTCTCCCGAACTCTGGTCGAGGCAGACGACGCGCCGGTCTCGCGTTTGTACTCGTAACAACTCTAAGTCGATCGTGATCATGTTGTGCCCGAAATTTTGTGGACTCTTGACTTTATTTCTTGTTTTCACTGTGATCAAGGCCGAGTTGAGGTTCAAGGAAGAGCTGCAGGCCGTCGCTGAACAAGTCGAGATCATGAAAACTTTGCACCTTACAGACATTACTCGTCTGAAAAGCGAGATTGAGGAGCTCAAGTAAGCTTTTTTATTTATTTTATTTATAATTTAATTAGAACAATAACGATTGTAGCGAATTGTATAATGAGATTTATCACAAAGCTTCGGTTCTATACCTCGAGATTGAAGTATGAATTGAATATTTTATGAAGATAAAAGCAATTTTATCCCGCATTAAGATTTGTTTGCTATTCGTATAGATATTTGCTACCTGTATCCATCAACTGGGTTTATGAATTAATCATGTCCGTTGACTAGGGAGTTGAATTGCTTCTGTCGATTATTTACTTCTGTAATTTGCAGAATTAATAGGACCGAAGCTTTGTGACGGATAACACGATTATGCAAAATGAAAAAATCACCGACACCGCTTTGCGTGGATTACATTTTATGAATTCAAAGCTCTGAATTATATTGCGATTGGATTTTGGTGCTGGCGCGATTTTCTTTTATTTTTTTTTGTTGTTTTTCATTCATTTAATATCTTTTTTTATGTATTTTTTTTCATATATTTTTGTGACTTTTTGACAACATTGTTTTTTACTTTGCATCGTTCAATACCTTTAAAACGGTTTGGCATTTATATAAGGCAAAAGGACGATTAAATTTCGTTACAATTTTTTTTTTAAATATTTTCTTAACATTAATTTTATAATGTTATTTTCATATTACAATTTTATTTCATTTATTTAAGTTTGAAGACGGCATCCAAGTTTACTTTTCGGGTAATTAAATATAAGCTTAGTTTGCGGTGAGCATAGACTTCGATGAGACGGTGACTAACACCAGGTTGCGGATCCACCAAGAGAATATAGTATATAGAATATAGTAATATAAAAGGGTATTAGTCAAATTTTAAATATTTTTTGACAACTTATTAATTGTTCACAGTTAATGGGAGTACCGTAAGCGCCGTCATTAGAATCATATTATTTCCTACTTATTTTGCCGTGAAGCAATCATGTGTTCTGACCTAAGATAGAATTGTCGTTAATTCTATAGATTGAAACATCAACCACATGCCTTATGCTAATTATGTAGTTTTAGGCTGCTGTTCTCCGCTTAACTCAGTAGGTATAGCAAGAAAACAGTAGATATAAAAAAAATATTCGATTTATTTATTGTTTTGATTTGGTTCCATTCGAAAGCTCTAACAATAAATATAGCCGATCAGTGAAACTAAAATGTAATACAAATATCATCAGAAATCAGAAATTAAGGTCTAACAGTTGTAATTTCATACTAATTGGACAGAGAACGTAACGGATTCCACAATGACGTCAATATTCATTACTGGAGCCCATAGACATCTATGACGTAAATGCGCCACCCACCTTGATATATAAGTTCTAAGGTCTCAAGTATAGTTACAACGGCTGCCCCACCCTTCAAACCGAAACGCATTACTGCTTCACGGCAGAAATAGGCGGGGTAATGGCACCTACCCGCGCGAACTCACAAGAGGTCCTACCACCAGTAATTACGCAAATTAAAATTTGCCGGTTTGATTTTTATTACACGATGTTATTCCTTCACCGTGGAAGTCAATCGAGAACACTTATTGAGTATACGTATTTCATTAGAAAAATTTGTACCCGCCTGCGAGATTCGAACACCGGTGCATCACTCAACACGAATGCACCGGACGTCTTATCCTTTAGGCCACGACGACTTCAAAACTAATTCAAATTCAATCTATTAACAAATCAATCTAGGATTTATGCGAAGCAATTTTTAAAAATGAGACATTTTCTTAATCTATTAAATATCTAGACACGCTAAACGAAAAAGAGTGAACCCAAGACACGTGTGTCTTGTCACAAGATAAGTGTGTGTGATTGATACACAATTGTTACGATTTCCTTTTAATAAACACGACCCCTGTCCATTTCTCTATAATCGCACATTATTCTATAAAATGTAATATTGCTTTTTTAAGAGTATTCCAATAAAGAGTATTCCAATAAACGTTACTGTATATAAGTTATAGTATATATATACATATAAACCGTACTACAAACGAGCTGCGATAAAAAAAACGAAATCGTTTTTGAGCAGGTGGTGAGCGATCCAACTCGGCTATTGGGACAATACAAACGACTGATATATGCAACGCTAACTCGGACCAATCTCGGCAGACACGCGTTCACAGCCACTCGCCATACACCGCCAAGTTCTTTCGATGAATTGTAACTCTTAAAACTACCTGGATTACACTTTTTTTTGTTTAAATGTTGAATTCCGTTGTCGAGATCAGAAGATGTTGTAAATGCTCTCTGGCAGTTTGATCAACTCTGTTACTACCTTAGTATAGATGCGTACTGCATCTATATACATAATAATAGAGCTCAAAAAAAGGACTCCATGTATTTGATTTTCAGAAAACAAAAAGCAATTTATACGATACGATATATAGTCGCTTATCTAACGATATCGCACAAGTCATATTTTCTTTTATTTAACAGCAGAGATACTGAGCATCTGGGTACTTTGTCAGATTTTATATCGTATCGTTTATTTTAGTCTTCTAGAAGATCGTTTTTTTTCTTTGTTTAATACTTAACAAATTTGATTTACGCGATATCGTTAGCTAAAAGGACTAAAACGATCACCTGTGACTTAGAGGCACACGCCAAAATCGCGCTCAACCTTTTACTATTGGCGCAACCCGTAATGATTTCAGGATTTGGGTTCCGCTCAAGAAATTGTACATTTCTTTTTTATAATTTTCGCAATATGATACGCAACAATCTCAGTAATCATTCGCAATATCATACGCAATACTCCAGTTTAAGCGCGCGCACACACACACACAGCACTGTCAGGGTGATGTGATATATTATCTTACATTGTGTAGCCTTCAGTCTTTTATTATATCGCTATTGCAGTTCAGTGTGACAAGCGAAACGGAAAATCCTGTGTGGGGTCAACAAATAGGCGCTTGGTTCAATACGTGTGCAACTCATATACATATATATACGATTACATCTTAACTATGTAGCTATTTTATAAAAGGCACGATTTTATTCTTATTAAAAATTTTATGCGATTGTATTTTTTTATACTCTACGCCGGTTTTACAAAACTTTTGTTTTTTAACGTCTTAAGATAGGTCACCGCCTAATAACTACTTAATAATGTGCATACTTTGATCAATTAAATATGTTAAAAAAAAAAAAGTTTTTATATTCCTCCCATACAAAACGCCAATTTCATATGTAAGGCCTAATATTATTGTATCAAGTATTTTAGTGTTCGTTTTTTTTTTTCAAAACACATGTAATTCCATATAAAGACCTTTGGATACAGCAGTCTATCAACGAAATCGTCGAAGGCTGTGCATGAACAAAAAGTCGTTTCCCAAAAACACTCCCAAATAGTTTGAACTACATTTTCAATTATTTGACGTAGTGGCTATCCTACAAGGCGGATCAATCGGCAGACACATAGAACAGATTAATGTTGTAGTCTGGAATTAATAGGCATCGGTTCAGTAATCTAGTTTGTAATTACATTCCGACAATGTACGTCTTGCATTTGAACAGTAATTAAAGCTATGCACTAAGGCGTATAAATAGGTATTGAGTATAGTATTGAATTCAATAACTCTGACAGATGCCGTCGACTACGAATATATTTTTTAAAGTTGCGTTAATAATTTTTATATATTTTACAACGTTTAGTCTTCACTTGAACGATAATTAGTCGGGTGTAATAATTAATTGTTCCCAGAAACACTAATAATATCTGTCATGAGAACAGTAAAGGCAAATAACGGACGTCATTGTTATTACTAAACGCAATGTACGACTGTTAAAAACAGAAGACGCGTCAGATCCATGAACCCATTGGGTTTTACAGGTATTTCCACAGAATTGTGAGCAATTACGTCCTAAGGGAAAACGTTGGATGCGGAAGGCGGAGGATCGCATTCTGTGGAAGGCATTGGGGAAGGTATATGTCCAGCAGTGGGCAGATAAAGGCTGATGATTATGACATCCTAAGACAATATATTATAAATGTTTCAGTAAGTTGTTTCTTCAGACGAATATTTTTTCAAACCCTACGAACACAGACACAGTTATTGTTTAAACGGATTTAAACTAGTCTAGCCGTTTACATATATAAAAAAACAACAATTAGTGAGATTACATTCTACAAAGACGACATAAGATGCACATCGTACCTATTTTCTTAATAACTTAAAATCTATTTACATTTTATGTTGTAGATACTAATTTAATGAAAATCCGAATTCTGTTGTCACGCATCGATACATTTTCAACAGAGAAGCAATTGTAACTGTCAGCATTGCAAAGCGCAGAACGAAGAGCTCTTCACGGCCTCACCACGCCTTAGGCTTTGAATTCCCCCAAGACGTGTCATAATATAAAAGTCGTAAATTCAGAAGTGGTATTCGTCCGTCGTTGTGAAACGAGAGCCCTCCATGAACCAGGCCATCTGATCGAGCGCGATTACTCCAGCCCACTTCCCCACTTCAAGGCCGCCTAGAACGTTGTAGCCAGAACGATGAGTGAGGACCTATTTCGTTTTGTCTATACTTCTATACTAATATTATAAAGAGGAAAGATTTGTTTCTTTGTTTGTATTGAATAGGCTCCGAAACTACTGAAACGATTTCAAAAATTCTTTCACTGTTTGGAAGCTACACTATTCTCGAGTGACATAGGCTATAATCTCTTTTTTGAAAAAATTAGGGATCCTTACTAAAAATCCAATAATGTAACCAAAGGTGTAAAAAAAATTACCTAAAATATTATTTACATCGCGTGCCCTGCGGAAAATATTGTTGATAGAATAAAATAATGTACTACAACTTTGTAGAACACATTATTATTTACAAAAAGTGTCGCGACAGCATATGTCTATTATATTAGTTATGCCGCAACAAGTGTTCTTTTATTTTAAAAAATAAAACAACGTCAAATATCGTTGGCATTTTTGTTAAAGACCAGAGCGGAGCCGGAGCGGGCCGCTAGTAAATACATAAACTCGTT